TGGTCTGACAGAGACTGGAGAAACCCTGAGAGTACGGCCCCTGGATACCTTTTCAGCTCAGTAATGAAGTCACTCCTGAGGTTCACCCTTCAGTCAAAGATTAGACAGGCCCATAAAACAAAAGGAGACTAAATCAGCACACCAGCCCAGGGGCAAGGACGGGAAGGCAGGACGGGACAGGAAAGCTGGTAATATGGGACCCAAGGTCAAGAAAGGGAGAGTGTTGACATGTCATGGGCTTGGCAACTAATGTCACAAAACAATATGTGTATTATTTGTTTAATGGGAAGCTAGTTTGTTCTTTAAACTTTCTTCTAAATTAAAAAAAAAGAATGGCTCAAATCCAAAAAACTGACAATACCACATGCTGATATGGGCGGGAGGCAATTTGTTATTTTCTTACAAAGCTAAACATACTATTTGTTGTTTTTAGTTGCCATCAAATCAGATCCCACTCATAGTGACCTTATGTATAACAGAAGATCCAAGTATTTCATGCCTAGGTATTTCTTTAACTGATGTGAAAACTTACCTGCAAAAAAAACCCTGCACATGAATGTTTATAACAGTTTTATTCAGAATCTCCAAACAGAAGCAACCAAAACGTCTTTCAATTAGTATTTTATATATATCTATATATACATATATATATACAGACACCACAGTTTATTTACTCAGATAAATAATTATTGTTTATCTCTGAAAAGAAATAAGCTAACAAGCCACAAAAAGACATGGATGAACCTTAAATGAATATTTCTAAGTAAAAGAAGCTAGTTTGAAAAGGCTACACATACTATGATTTCATTTATATGACATTCTAGAAAAGACAAAAATAGATAGCAGTGATAAATCAGTAAGTAATTGCCAGGGGGTTGGGAGATGGGGTGGAGGGTTACATAGATGAAGCACAGGAAATTCTTTAGGGAGGTGAAACTATTCCTGTGGTTCTGTAATGCTGGATACATGATGTTATCCATCTGTCAAAATCCATACACAGAATTTTGCAGTACAAAGAATGAATTTTAATGTATGCAAATTAAAAAATAATTTAGGAGGTCAGGGTATTTCATGATGGAATGCATAATTTGACAAAAGAATCTAACTGAATCACAAATATACTGAACAACCTTACTGAAGGAAATGAGGGAAAAAGTTGCTGACCTAAGTAACTTTGGAAATGAATGGTTTCTGTATGACTAAAGGCTAAAGAAACTGCATAAGAACTTTACTCTAGTTGATGAAGTTGTTCCCATAGGGGTACAGGTTAAAAATTCTGAAACCACTGTGCATGTATATTTGAATTGAATAATTAAATAAACGGACGGCAGGTGTTGGGGAAAAAAAAATTTAAATGGACACACAAAACTGCTCACTATTCCCACTACCTTTTCTAATAAATTATCTCTGAAAGGTCTAGTTCACACTTTATCCTCAAACTTCAAAACATCTACCTCTCCCTCACTCTCCTGTGATAACTACATGTTATACTTCAGTAAGAAAAACTAAGTGCAGACAAGCACTACGGGGTCACCGCATCACCAAATCTTCCAACTACCTCCATCTGTATTAACATGTAGACAGAACAAGTTAAAGAGTGAATACAAGATGAGGGATGGAGGAAGATGTAGACAATAGTTTTAAGAAAACTAGCTAAATAATAAACAAGAGAGAAGTCAGTTACTAGAGTAGGATATAAAGTCAGAGGACAATTTTCTAATACAGGAGACTTCAGAGGTATAAATTCTGAGTGCACAAATTCAGTAAAGAGATACGGAATAAAGATTTAAAAAGTGGTGCTTGCTTTGGCAGCACATATACTGAAACTGGAATGATACAGGGACGATTAGCATAGCTCCTGCATAAGGATGACATGCAAATTCATGAAGCCTTCCATTATTTTTATGAGACCAAATTGTCAGCAATTGCTTGCAAGCAAAGATGTGAAGGTAAGGGGGCAGGGAAACTAGATTACAGGAAATGGAAAACCAGAACGTAAATAATGAGAATGTTGACACATTTTGAAGAATGCAACCAATGTCAATGAACAATTTGTGTAGAAACTGATAAATGGGAACCTAATTTGCTATACAAACTCTCAATGAAAACACATTATTTTTTTAAAAAGATATAAAACGTGTAAAAACTAGTTGTCATCTAGTCTATTCAGACTTATGCCAATCCCATGTGTGTTAGAATAGAACTGTGCTCCAAAGTGTTCTCGATGGCTGATTTTTTGGAAGTAGACTGCCAGTCCATTCTTCCAAGGTTATCTCTGCGTGGATTCAAACCTCCAACCTTTGGTTAGCAGACAAGCACTTACTTAACAGTCTGAAGCAGAAATTCAGAATTATCTAAGTGCAAATTTAATAATGTATAACTATTTGTCTTAGTCATCTAGTGCTGCTCTAACAGAAATACCACAAGTGGATGGCTTTAACAAACAGAAGTTTATTCTCTCACAGTCCTGTAGGCTACAAGTCCAAATTCAGGGCATCAGCTCCAGAAAAAGGCTCTCTCTCTCTCTGTCAGCTCTGGAGGAAGGTCCTTGTGATGCATCAGTCTTCCCTTGGTCTGGGAGCATCTCAGCGCAGGAACCACTGGTCCAAAGGACGCGCTCTGCTCCCGGCACTGCTTTCTTGGTGATGTGAGGTTCCCATGTGTCTCTGTTCGCCTCTCTCTTTTATATCTCAAAAGACATTGGATTAAGATACTATCCAATCTTGTAAACCTCATCAGTATAACCTCATCACAGTGATATAATTTACAACACATAAGGAGATCACATATAATCTCATCATAGTGATAGAGTTTACAGCACATAAGGAAATCACATCAGATTATACAATCATACAATACTGGGAATCATGACCCAGCCAAGTTGACAGATATTTTTTGGGGACACAATTCAATCCATGACACTATTGGTTCCTTCTTTACATATTTCACAACAATATTCCATTATGAACCTCTCCAAGGTACACAACTAAAAGAATTGAAAATAGGCACTCAAATACTTGTAAAGAAATTTTCATAGCATCACCATTCACAACAGCCCAAACAAAATGTGGTATATACATATATTGATTACATTCTTCATGTTATGCCACCATTATTGCTATCCTTTTCCAAGTTATTCTACCACCATTAACATAAACTCAATGCCCCCTAGCAAAAACTCCCTTTTTCTCCCCTCCTCCCACCCCAGTAACCATTAACCATCTTTGGTTTCTATGTATTTACTTATTTCATATAAGTGAGATCATACAGTTTTTGTCCTGTTGTGACTGATTTATTTTATTCAGTATGATGTTTTCAAGGCTCATCCATGTTGTAGCATGCATAAGGACTTCACTTCTCTTTATGGTTGAGTAATATTCCCACTGTACGTAAATACATTTTGTTTACCCATTCATCTGTTTTTTTGTTTTGTTTTTTTAATGTACTTTAGATGAAGGTTTACAGAATAGTTTCTCACTAAACACTTAGTACACATATTGTTTCATGACAATGGTTAACAACCCCACGACATGTCAACACTGTCCCTTCTCAACCGCAGATTCTCTATTACCAGCTTTCCTGCCCCCTCCTGCTTCTAGTCCTTGTCCCTGGACTACTGTGCCCCATTAGTCTCGTTCTGTTTTATGGGGCTGTCTCATCTTTGGCTGAACGGTGAACCTCGGGAGTGACTTCATTACTGAGCTAAAAGGGTGTCCAGGGGCCATACTCTCAGGGTTTCTCCAGTCTCTGTTAGGTCAATAAGTCTGGTCTTTTATTGTGAGTTAGAATTTTGTTCTACATTTTTCTCCAGCTCTGTCCAGGACCCTCTGTTGGGATCCCTGTCAGAGAAGTCAGTGGTGGTAGCCGGGCACCATCTATATGTACTGGCCCAGTCTGGTGGAGGCCATAGTAGTTGTGGTCCCTTAGTCCTTTGGACTAATCTTTTCCCTGTATCTTGTTTTCTTCGTTTTCCCTTGCTCCTGAAGGGGTGAGACCAGTGGAGTATCTTAGATGGCTGCTCACAGGCTTTTAAGACCCCAGACACTACTCACCAAGGTAGAATGTAGCATATTCTTTATAAACTGTGTTATGCCAATTGAGCTAGATGTTCCCTGAGGCCATGGTCCCCACAGCCCTCCACCCAGCAATTCAGTCCCTCAGGGAGTTTGGATGTGTCTATGAAGCTTCCGTGACCTTTCCTTGTACAAGTTGTGCTGGCTTCCCCAGTATTGTATACTGTCTTACCCTTCACCAAGGTTACCACTTATCTATTGTCTATTTAGTATTCTCCCCCACCCTCCATCCCTCATAACCAACAAAGATTGTTTATTTTTGTGTGTAACCTTTTTCCTGAGTTTTTACAGTAGTGGTCTCATAAAATTTTTGTCCTTTTGTGATTGACTTATTTTACTCAGCATAATGTCCTCCAGTTTCATCCATGTTATAAGATGCTTCAAAGATTCATCAGTGTTCTTTACTATTGCATAATACTCCATTGTGTGTATGTACCACAGTTTGTTTATCCATTTATCTGTTGATGGACATTTCTGTGGGTTCCATATTTTGGCCATTGTAAAAAGTGCTACATTGAACATTGGTACACTACAATGAGTTTTTATCATGCTAATAATTAGTAAAATAAGATTTAAAATTAGTTTCTGTGTACTTTATACTTGAGATGGTCCTGTTGTTGTTGGTAGGTGCTGTCAAGTGGATTTTCAACTCACAGAAACCCCATGTGACAGAGTAGAACTGTCCCATAAGGTTTTGTAAGCTGTAATCTTTACAGGAGCAGATCACCAGGTCTTTCTCGAGTGCTGGGTGGGTTCGAACTGCCAACCGTTCAGTTAGCAGCCGAGCACTTAATCACTGCACCAGCAGGGCTCCTTAAGATGGTCCTACCAATATTCTTTAATGAACATAAAACTCAATTCTACAAACGTTTGCTAAACATCTACCTGTTATGTGTAAGGAAATGGTTAGGTGCAGATGCATATCAAAATTGGAATCCACTTGATAGAAAATACACATATTATCGTCCTCCAATAAATTAACTAAAAGTTAGGCTTTTTGTTTGTTTTGCTTTGAGATTTTCTTTGCAAACCCTGGTTCACTAACTACCAACTATTTGAAAAGTTTCATTTTGTAAATGGAGAAAATTAGTAAATACATGGTTAAGAGTACTTATTTGGCTTGATGCAAAGTGGTAGAACTAAAAAACAAATCTCGTCTCCATTCTAAGGACTGGATGTTCACTGTTAAAATGACTAGTCAGCTAATTGTCATTTTCCTAGTATCTTATCTTCTCAATGCTGTACTTAAAAAAAAAAAAAAAAACTCCTTATTTTTTGGAACAGTGTCTTAAATATTAAGGTCTTTAAACAGTTTGTAGTTCTGGAGTTTGTCTATTATTTCTTCTAAACACAAGCCATAACTTCAATAAAAGTTATAATTAACACAAAAATATGTTAGAAAATATACATACCCATTGCCATCAAGTCGATTCCGACTCATAGCAACCTTACAGGACACAGTAAAACTGCCCCTTAGGGTTTCCAAGGCTGTAAATCTTTACGGAAGCAGACTGCCACATCTTTCTCCCGTGGAGCGGCTGGCGGGTTCAAACCGCTGACCTTTTGGTTAGCAGCCGAGCACTTAACCACTGCACCACCAGAGCTCCTGAGAAAATATATATACAGTCCCCAATTAAAACTTTCTCAATGCCCCAAAATCCACATTTAACTATTATTTTTACCCTGTTTTCATACCAACACTTGTTTCATGGATTTTATCAAATTATATCTGCATAATCTCCTAATGTCTGATTCAACCTCTTGTCCCAATACTAGCACTGTTCCTTTCTGGCTAATATATTCTTGTCTGTTAACTCACCAATGTTTGGTTCTTAGGGCATAATTTCACTGACAATAAATAGGGTTACTGTAAATGGCCATAGATCAGACCCCCAACTGCCCAAGTATCTCTTTTCCACTACAATACATATGAGCCTCTGCTATCAGAATCAACTGGAGAAAGCAGAAGCACACAAGAGGAATTGGAAAAATCTCCTTAAAAAATTTTCTTAAAACCCCCTCTAAAGGATAGAAACATACTAAAACTAAGGATCTAAATAGACCAGGACTAGATTTAAGTACCACATGTAAAGCTCCTATTAGTATTAAAGTTTCAAAAGGGAAAAAAGGAGAGAACATTAGTTTTAATACAAACCTCTAAATACTATATATTCCTAAAAAAAAATTCAGTTTTCTCCTTGAGAGTATTATTAATAAGAACTGATATGATATTCCATTCATAAGAACTGATATGCTAAGTCAGCTCCTGCTCTACCAAGCCCAGTATCATGCTTCACAGCAGTATTAACTAACAAGTTGTGACAAGGTATAGGTCAACTCATCAATTAACTTCTTCTGTAAAATTATTTAAAGCCCTGTTTGATTCATTTACTTTACTACCCTGTATCTCTAATTTTGTTTGCCATTGTTTTACTCAAAATTCAAAGGACAATTCTAAGAATTCTGATCTTTCCAGTATGTTCTTATATGTTGTTGTTGGTTGCCTTTGAGTCGATTCCAACTCATTGTGACCCCACGTGTACAGAGTAAAACTGCTCCACAGGGTTTCTAAGGCTATGTGACCTTTCAGAAGCAGATTGCCAGGCCTGTCTTTCAAGGCGCCTCTGGGTAGGTGTGAATTGCCAACCTTTCAGCTAGCAGCACTGCTTAACCATTTGCACCACCCTATTCTTATACCGGAAACTCTGGTGGTATAGTGGTTAAGAGCATTGTTTGCTAATGGAAAGGTCGACAGTTCAAATCCACCAGGCACTCTTTGGAAATTCTATGGGGCAGTTCTACTCTGTCCTATAGGGTTACTATGAGTCAG